GTCGGCATCTCCCTCAGGTTCAGGGGAATGAGGCCCATAACTGTTACTGTTCGGCGGTGGTCCATAAGCAAAATCAAAGCCCTAGCGACGCGAAAACTATTCAGTTGCAGCTGTTTCCTCAATGTTGGCCACCGGATACTTGTCTTCATATAAACCCACAACTTGAATGCTTGGTCACATGCTTCTAATGTGAACTGCGTGCGCTAGGCACTTCAACAACTTTCTTCATCGCCTTTCGGAATTATTTGTGCTGCCTGTGAAACTTGAGTAATATTGAGAAATCTGTTCCTTGTCGACCCGAGTACTTTAGACGCTATGCTTTACTCTCATTTTGACGTTTTTTTTCACTTTGCTTCCACCTGACATGAAAAATGTGCTTTCAAGCGCCCTACTGTTCGTGCCCAGTAGTGTCATCATGCAAACCAGGTACTACTAGGAAATTATACTTTCAGGTGCCTTTTACTTCAGGGTTACTCTAAGACCTTCCAATTGGACGTCGTTGCCAGCGCTCTTCATGCTTATTCTTTACGCTATTCTTACACTGATTGGTGCCGCAGCCAGTGTACCTCGAGCCCATCTTGACGGTCCATACTGCCATATGTGTGAGGCACGATTTTTGTTGATTTCCGAAAGACGGCTTAACCCCTTAACCCTAATAATAATTAATAAATAGAAAGCAGACCTCAAAGCGTTCCTCCTTCCTGCCGAGTACTTTAAAATCGGAACCATTAAACAAAGAAATCAAAACAGCTAAAGCTCCCAACTTCACGAGTCATTGCCAATGTGGCTAAAGCTCGTTGAGTGCTGATAAGCTATGGTAGATACCATTGAACAGATGAGTAAAGTGATGGTGTGATGGTAACATTTTTGCCTGAACTGTGGGAGGCCCATGTCCTATCCCCGACTCAGACAGAGGCTTGTCTATGATAATCTTGTGAAAGAATGAATACTCGAAGCTCCCATTGCGCCAAAGTTGAGTGGGCCTTTATTGACGGCTTAATTCAATTGTGCCCGAAATATTGTTCTCAAAGTCGCCCTAAATATGGCACAATTCAAGTTGTTCTCTGACCCGCCAAATGCCTGTACCCCATTGTTTCCCTTTTTTCCAGCTGCTCTAAAAGGAATCCTGGAAAAAAAACTTATGCTGGAAAACAACTAAATATAACGAATGAGGAAAATTAACAAAACTGCCAGGATTTTGAAAGAGAAATGTAAACAAAAGGTTGAATTGTTCAGTATTAACCAGACTCTAATACCTGTGAGAACCTCTGCCAGTGATGTTCGTGATGTATCGAAAGCTCAACTGAATCCAGTTATGTAATAAAGCCCCGAAGAATGAGGCGGGCGCGACATCGCTCACCATGCGCTTATCTTGTTATGTCATCACTGGGTCATCAGGCGGTGTGCCCTGGAACCACTTGTTTTTTTGCGCGCCATAGAAGAAGCCGTGAATAACTCAGGTTTCGTGAAAGCCTTGCATGGATTTTCCCACGATCACAATTCGAACGCTTCTTTACACCATAAAAGACGTGTTTGACAAAAAAAGATTCTGCTCTTTTCCGGGGTTTCTCACGCTCGTAACAAAACTTTTAAAAAATGTGTTGTCAACCGTTGAAGTTGTCGCAGTCAGTCGAAGCGGTGTCAGTAGGCTTAGAATGACCACGCGCGGCGTTTTCTATCACTTTGTTTCCCTCCTGAACCCATCAGAGTAGCGGTGCGGCCTCATTCCAGCCTTCTGACGGCGTCCCGATGGACTGCGACGATATCAGCTACAGGCACCATGGGAACTGTAGTGTCCCGATTGAGAAGCAAAAGATTTTGTTTTATTATAAATTAATCCGATTGAGATGCTCAATTACGAGAACCGAACGAAGAGAAGATTGCATCACATTGTACAGCATTTTGATAGACTTTGATGTACGTCAGAAAAAATATTGCTGTCACTTGGATCCCAAGGCCAATCAATCACAATAAAATCAAAATATGAAATCCTTAGCAAGCCATTTCTGAGCTGAAGGAGGCTACGAAATGTCTATTTTCAGGTGATTATGAACAACGTCCGAGGCGATTTCAACTACGACTTTTCAAACGTTAGTCCAGTCCAATTACTAGCGAAGATTTACTACGAATGCGATCAGAACTTGGCTGGACCGGCAAATATGCGCTGCCATCAAATAGCCAAAGACAACTTGATGTTGATTTACTCGGATTTACAAGCTGGCAGAGGAGCATACTACATTTGTCAACAACTGAATTTATGTTGAAATCATGTCATGATGAAATGTACATAATTTTTGTGATTTGTATCGAACAAACCCTTGAAATTTTATTTTTATTTTATTTTATTTATTTGCCATGTCAATATTTACAATATGTGGGCACCTCATTAAATCAATCCATTCCTTCTTCGTCATGCATCTTGCCGCATTTTGCCGCAATTGCACGTAATCGGATGATAATGATTGGATGTATTTTCGACGTATCGTGCATCATTTTCGACGTCGGTCTTACTCCGCATGGTGTATACTTGTTTGCGGAGTCAAGTATGATGGCTTGAATGTTTTCGACATGTGCACAATATTGTTCGTCGTCTTCTGCTGTGGAACTTGCTGAAGGGGGTACATATACCGCCAAAAACCGATACAAATTCGCATCAAATCGTACATCCAAACGAGACATTCTGTCGTTTTCTCTTGAAAAAGCATCCACGAAAGGAAGAAGGCGGCGACTCACGAAAAAACCGGTTCCAGATGGTCCTTGTGTGTCTTCAGGCCCAGCATGGAAGAATTTATAATCTGAGTCTTCGAGGTCTATACTCCCTGTTCCTTTCCATCGTAGCTCCGTAACTGCGAGGATGTCCAAAAATGTTCTTCCGAGTCCTTCTTGAAGTTCGACGAGTCGTTCTCTTGAAAGTCTTCTAACATTAAGTGTGGCGAAGTGAATGGAATTGAATAGAGGGTGGAACATACTTGACCCGGCCGTTCCAGTGCTTCCTGGGCCAAGGAGTATCTTCTATGCTGACGAGGCGAGTCGAAGAAGACGTCGGTTCGGAGAGAGTGAACCGACCGCTCACCGTCCGGTATCGAAGAAGACTCCAAGCCTTGAAATAGGGTAGTAAAGATCTCTTCTTTTTTTTAATAAGATTTGTCATGATTAGGGTAAGGTGAACATAAAGTTGACCTGTAGGAGCCTACAAATTCATTGCTGTGCGCTCACCGTGCTAGAAAACTGCAGGCACATTGAACGATTATCGCATTGGACACCACCAGCAGCCCCCTACACCTTTTCCCCTCTTTTCAGTGCGATCGTGATTTTTCGAATTTTGCACGAAAATTTCTGCTTCTGCGGCTTCTTTGCATTTTTGCTCTTTCACACATTCATAATAACTGGGAGACGCTCATACCGACACCCAGACGACTCCGGCCACTTTTTAACGGGTTGATTGCGAAATTCGAACTTTCAAATTTTCCCTACGCTCGCATACTCTCTCTTCACACAATGGATGTGCTCACATACAAGCTCATACACAATGGTACACTAAGCAACACCAAATTAGCCATGCCTTTCAATTTTTTTTTGCTGCTTATTCACCTCTTCAAGGTGCAGCAAGTGGATCCGCCCACCATGAGAAGCTCCATCCACTTTGTGAAAACCCACCCAATTTTGTAAAATGTTTTTCTGCACAGAGGTGGGAAGAGTCTTGCGGGTTGCTAGAGGTAAATCAGAGAAGATTAAGGCGGCAAAGCGACGCCCATGGGCATCGAATGTCCCTGCGTTTAAAAAAATGCTACGCTCGTAATTAAGACTTCACTTCACAGAACCCTGGTATATAGAAATACGATTTCTGTGGAAAAGGCTGGTAGCACCAGATCGGCGTCACACTGCGCCGGCGACAAATGTGAATATCAAATTCCTGTCAAGTGTCCTGACCAATCCCTACAGTCAATGTTTGAGCCTGAAACAGAGTATGAGGTTTCTGGAATAGCTGTCGCTAGCTGAAAGATTTGATATTCCATGAAAACAGCAACATTCTTCTTGCTCATCCCTCTTGGGTATTCACTTCTCAAGTGATTAGAAGACAAAAAAAAACAGATGGAAACCAACGGCAATGACCTAAAAAGTGATTCGAAAGGGTATGAGCCGCCTTTGGCTCAAGACATCATCAATGTCTTGGGTGGTCTCCCACACCCACACAATATCGATTTTTGGAGTGAACAACCCACCCATCTTGGGCTTCCTGTGGGGAATTGACTCACAGGTCAAAAGCTTCAAAGGTCAACGAAGTGCCAGGGTAATCGTCAGGTAGTCCCAACAGACTCGCTGTAATGGCGTTTCAAGGGCTCTGTTCATTTTATTTTTTGTTCGTACGCTCTTCACCCCATATGAATATTACTACAGGGGGGCCAAAAAAAAGTCACTTCGACCGAGTCACATATCAGCAAAGTTTTCGCAGCCCAGAGAGAAGACGTGGATACGAGTACCAGGGCGGAAGATACCCAAGATGTTCCTCGATAAGCAGGAGCTGGCCCTCGCCCATCACCTTCATGTACACCAAAATATGAAGTCATCTCCAGTCGCAGCCTGACTGGAGAAGACCTTTGGAATTCATGTCACCTCCAAACAGCTGCGAAACTTCTAGTGTGGAGTCACCCATGGGTAGCTACCTGGAGACCAGTACTCTCAATCTGGAAGACCTCCAACATCGAGCAGCTCCGACAACGTCGCTACGGTCTAGGACATCATCTTCACCGCAGTCGCCAAGGCGCGGGTTGATGGTATGGACCGGACGTACCTGGAATGGAAAGACCAATATTTTCTTCGTGGACCCCGGACTGAAGGTGAGCGCTGGCGGTTACATTGGGCAACTCGTGAAGAATATCCTCCTCACATGTGGTCGCCCGTACCTTCTTGGAAACTTTGTACTGCTACAGCATTGAGTGCCACCACATGAAATCGAAGGGCGTTGGAGAAACTCTTGCCTACTTGGAATGGAAGGGCGTTGAGTACCTGAAGAAGGTGGAATATCTAAGCAGGTAACCTGACCTAAACCCCCTCAATTACCTGGTTCGGGCGGAGTTCAATAGGGTGGTCTACAGTGGCGGAGAAATCAACGATCTCGCTGAACTCAGGCACCCACTCACGGTCGCGTGGCAGAATCTCTCGATGGCGCTCCTCCAGAAGGCTGTGGCGGAGTGTCATAATAGTATTTAATATGCTCTTTAATATGGTGGTAGAAATGTCCGATCAGAATTTATAAAGTGTAACTTATAGCGCCTCGAAAATCAATGAAGCGAAAGTGACATTTTTTGGCCCCCTGTATAATACTAGGTCTTGTAAAATGAGCCGCAGTTCCGTTAGTGATTTCCTTCCTTGTCTTCTCCATCTGCTTAGCTCGGAAACACAGCCCGAAGTCCCTAGCATCTCTTCAATAGAATCCCGGTGGATCCGTTAGGCGGCCTTCAGACTCGACTTGCTTTCAAGCGCAGCAACACGCGTTGCGGCTCTTAAAAGAGGAGGTCGTTCAGGGCGTGGTGCGCTTTTCGAAAACGGTTTTTGCATATTGTAGGGGCTCATGCAAGGACCTGAAAAGTGTGCTTCATTTTCGCAGGAAAGGTAAAAAACGAGTGAAAAGAAATCTTTGGAATCTGCTTCGTTCTGGGCCTCTATGCGGCGTAGGTCACTTGCAACTTTGACCAGTTGCTGAGTGGGGGTCCTTATAAAGGGGCTATTTGAATCGAAGCGAAAAATCGTCGTCGCAAATGAGCTTCCAACTTCTGTCACGTGCTCGAGGCAGGGTACGCTATCGTTGTGACATCACAATTGGGTGGTCGTATTTGATCTCGAGGGAAGGGGAGGGGGGTGCGGGAAACTCTCTGAAGTGAGGGTGCAGCGATACCCAGATGTCGTTCAGCTTCAATGATGAAAGACTATCCATGTAAAGAACCTCTGAAGAGGGAAGACAGAAGCAACCTGCCAGCGCAGTAGGGGGAACGGGCGATGACGGGGAATACGAGGCCTCCCACAACGACGTCATGAATTAATAAAAAAGGTGAAGGATAAAGTCTTCGCCGTTGATCAACCCCTTTGTGGGATGCGGCACGCATTCTACTTCCATTCAGAATCGTAGTGGCTTATTGAATGCGATGTGGCCTATACAATGACTTGCGGTGGCCAGCCGATGTACAAGTCAGTGTTTTATCCTCCCAGACGAATCTGGTACCATCTTACCGTTCCCGGAGGGTAGAAGGCTTGGTTGGCCTGGGCGAGAGTCGACTCCGGGATTTGAACCCGGCATCGCGCGAGTGGTAAGCGCGCCACTTGTCACTACACCACCTCCGCGCCAATGAATATCCGTCATAAACTAATAAACAGATGAAAGTACACTACCGCACCTTTCTATTGTAGAAGCACACCTACTTGCACGGAGGAAGCCCTTTCTAGAAGTTGCACCTTCCCAATAGCTCTGCGTGAAAGCCCTATGCATGGCGCATTGCAGAGGTGATGCCAATTGGCGCCCAATGAACTATTTCCTGATACCCTTGGCGAAAACATGCGTTTTAGAAGCATACACAAGTCTTTAAACCAACCGGAGGTTTCATGGCGTCGGAGGGGTTGATTTTTCGTGTCGTGGGGCAGTGATCACCCTGTGATCACAACGGGGGATTTTTCGAATAGCAGGCCTAGGGATAAAATGAAAGTTTTGCTGGAAAGTAGAAAGCTTCATGCTTCCGGCACAGTTCTTTTTTTACGAAAGGCCGTGTATGAAGCTTGCCATGGATGTCCAAAGCGTAGCGACTTGTGGTTGGCCCCCCATGATCACGCAAGGATCACAACGGGGAAAATTTCCAGGAAAAAATGTTTTTGAAATCGCTCAAACTCTATCCGCTATCCTCTCTCCGAGAGCTTTACTTTCAACGAAGTTATGGGTGTTCAAAAGAGGGGTACTTTTCGAGTGTTTGACTTGAAATTGGCTCCAGGTCGTATTAGGTTGGCTAATAAGTAATGGCCGTTTTTTTCAATTGAAAAATTTGTTCGAAAAGTGAAACGTTTTGCAAGCAAGTTATATATCATCTGATAGGAAACTTCTCGTAGTATAAGAATATCAAAAAAGCTTTGGTTGAGGATATAGTTTTTGTGAATTTTTTAGTCGTTGAAGTTGGAAGTGAAGTCGGCGAAAATTAGCATCTTTTTGATATTCTAATACTACGAGAAGTTTGCTATTAAACGATGTTAAGCTTGCTTGCAAAACTTTTCACTTTTGAAA